AATAATTCCTTTAATATAAATTTAATAAAGAACTGATTAATTTGACATCAATAAATCGAGCAAAGAAATTATATTTGAAAATAATTTCAAAATTGCAAGAGCATAAAATCAAAAGTGTTTTGCTTATTTTAAAGGTGTAGAAGAATAAAAAAAAGTCATTATGAAAGTAGAAATCAAAATACTAAATAATGATGATTATATATTCAATATAGGAATTGTAAATGCTCATCATAATCTAAATGATTATGATGGTTGTTTTCTACTTACATAAACAGGAACTCTTCTTTAAGAGAGAGAGTCGTAATAATCTAAACTCAAAGTCATTAATGGTTCAATAATTAAGGTCAGGTATGCCAAAAAACATCCAAAAAAGATATTCTTTTAGGTTGATAACAATTTAAATGTAAGTCATTATCTCAAATATTTAGGATAAAATGTAGCTAAACCAAGAGCTTATTCAATTTTACTTTATAGTTATTTTTAAAAATGTTTAGGTTGAATTATTGTGAAATAATACATTATTATTTATAATCATAAATAATATTTAATAATACCTCATAATATTAATTAATTTTATTTATGTATTCAATCTTTTATAATCAATATAATAGTATCATACAATATATAATGATATGAATTAATCTAAGTTAAAGTTACTGAATGATTGCAAAGAAAGAGACCGATAAAGCATGAATATTGATCAAATGAAGCTAAAGTTCTGATTATAAATCAAAAAAAAAATAAAATAAAAAACCGAAAATGGAGTAGAAAAGATGATTAAAAAGCTTGACTATTTTATAATTTAATACAAATTTAAAACAGATTCATTCAAACTTTGAATATGCAAATACAAAAATATAATCTTGACAAATATATCTCAATGATCCTTAACAAAAGAGCAAATTTGAATTAATGTGGCTCCAATTCTAATATTTTAAACTATACGTAAAATTCTAAAACTAGTGATCTCGACATAGCAATATCAATATATTTGGTACATGTTACAGATCATAGAAAAATATTAGCTGAACAATGGATTCTTTGTTTAAAAAATGATCTCGTCATGAATTAACAATGTGGCAAAATTTGTTAATAAGAAAATATTTCACTTTGCTGTATGCTTACAAAGAGTCCATTATATTAGAATTTTATAGTTAAATAATCAAGTTTAAAAAACTACTAACTTTAAATAATAATTGATCACAATGGGAAAAACTAGAATTTAGAATTATATAAATGTTATCATTTAAACGTACATCAGAATCTTGGAATTGTAGCTAGGTTTCATTAACATCTGAATCTAAGCTAAGAAATGAGTAAGTAGCGATCATTGTCATTTTAAGAGTAAACATTGATACCAAAACAAAATAATAAATTAACAAGATTTAATTCAGAATAGATATAAACTCCTGAGAAAAAAGTGTTTATGTATTTATTTGAAGAGGATGTAACATTTTTGATAGATGAAAATTAAGTTGAAAGAGTAATGAGTTAGAATTCTGATTCAGATTTTATGATTCAAACAATTGATGATGAAACAGATGTGACTGAGTGGTAGGTTATAGATCATAAATAATTATTGAGTAAAAGTTAAAAGAAGATGCTTGAAGATTTAAAATTGATGAGAGAAAATTTTAATTATAAATCTAAGCATTCTCACTAAATAAAAAAGATTTTAGAATTTATGGTATAATGAACTAATGAATAAGAGTGATTGCTTGATATTTATAATAATAATAACTAATATTATAGTTATTAAGTTGGTTGATAATGTAATTTTGGTTTAAAAATAATAATTTTGTAGAATGATATCTTATTTTATTTTTTTAAAAGAATAATACTGACCAAAGGAGATAGTAGATATTATTTGATTTCAAATAAATGTTAAATGAAAATTATAAAGAATAAATTTTGAGTGATGATGAAAAATTCGTTTTTGGTTTTTAAAATTATATAAGAATATGAATGTTTTAATAATATGAATAGGTGTATGGAGATGAAATGAAGAGAATGAGAATGTTTGTATAATTGGAATGTTAGAAAGTGATGGTTTTGATTGGATTAATTAAAGGTTGATAATTTGAAAAATTCGTTTTTATGTGATTGATAATAAAATAAATGAAATCAATTATTCTGATTGCCCTCATTGCTGTGGCTTTCACAGCTAGAGTTTAAGAGAGAAACATGGCAAAAGTTTAAGCAGATTTGGCTAAGAGTAATTATGGAAAGGCTTTACTTCATTTGGTAGAGTTACATGCAATGGCTGGAGGACCAGTTTAAGAATTGGTTGATGCTATTTAAGAGTTAATAAATGATTTAGAAGAGGAATTAGATGAATTAGAAATGAACTTTAGAATTAGAACAAATGAACATAATTCCTTAGTTGTTTCATTAGAATAAGATATCTAAGATGCTGTAATTGGTAAAAATATGTATTAAATATAATAGATGTAAATAATACATAAGATACTTTGGATAATTTATTATATCCAAGAAGAGCTTAGATTCAAGAGAAAATAGACTCAGTCCTTGGATATTAAGAAGATAATAGAAAGAATTATGATGAAGCAATCTTAGTTAGAGAATAAGAACATGATGCATTTGAAGCATAAGTTGCTGAATTAAATGATGCTACAGCTTCAGTTGATGATGCTTTAGCTCTTCTTGCTTCATTAACTAATCCATCATTATTATAAATTAGAAGATTCTAAAATACACTCAAAAATATTGAAAATAAAATTAGATCTCGATCTAAAATGGCACCAATGATTAAGGCTTTGATTAGTTTAGCATCAAATCAAAACTTTTCAAATTAAGATGTATTAAAAAATATTGTTGATGCTCTTAATGAATTTAGAAATGCTGTTGTTGATTAAATAAATGATTTAACAGCCTAAGAAGCATAAGACGTTATTGATCATGAAGCTTATCTTGAATAATTAGATGATGAACATCGTGAATTCTAAAGATAAATTGATAGAGCCACAGTAGATTTGACAGCTACTAATGGTATCATTAATATAATATATTATTCTAGAAAAGATTGATTAATTAAGTGAATTCAGAAATCAAAGAGCTGCTGATTAAAAATAATATACAGCTGAATTAGAATTGGAAAATAATACATATGCTGAAGAAACTGATATCTATACCAATACCAAGAATGAATTCACTAGAGAATTAGGAGTTAGTGAGTAAGCTTTAGCACTTGTTAAGAGTGTTGACTTCTCAAACATCCAAGTTTGATAATCATTCATAATATAATAAATATTCATTAAATTTTAAAAATTTATATATTTCTATCTATTCATTCATTTGTAAGACTAATAAAGATCCATATATTGCAATTAGATGTTATTAATGTGCATCTAGTCTATAAATATCTAAGTAATTAATCGAGTCATTTTTCTATTTCTTGTAATCTTAATTGTATGTATGATTATATTACTAATATTAAATCAAGTTTAGTTATGTGTCTAAAGCAACATTTGGATCATTGTATTACTTCATCTTTTTGAAGTTCTTTAAAGGAGAATAATATTTATTATCATTTATATTTAAATCTCCCATCAAATAATCTATAATTTATATCTTTTCTGGTTCCTCTAAAACTATTTTTATTTATTCTTATAATTCTATAGTCCTTTAAAATTTATAATATCTATTATAATTTGGCAGCTTTTTAATTTTAATATCAGAAACTCAAATTTCGTGTTAATTTTGATTTCATCTTAATTTTTAGTGAGATTTCTAATCTCAAAATAGTATTTAACAATAACAACACTCATCCTATTTGGATTAAAATTTTTTTTTATTAATTAATTCTTATAAATTTGGTCTGATTTAGCATAAAGTTAAGTTTTATTAAAAAAAATACTAAATCATTATTTATTACAAATATCTCCCCAATTTACTGTCTCTTTTAATCCTTCTTCCTTTTACCCTATAATCTTAAGTCTTTTATTATATAGAGACAGGATCAATGGTCGATTTGTAAATCTTCAAAATCTTGAAGACACTCAACATTTGAAATTTTGAATTGTAGAATTAACTAAGTTCTATAATTGTCTGGTTGTGATGTACATATGTATAATACCATTTATGATGAATTAAAATATATATAATATTTTTTATTATAAAAGATTAGAATTGCAATTAGGTAAAACAAAATGAATTAAAAAATAATAAATATAATATTTCATTTAGATACGTAATATTGAAAATATTAAATATTATGCATTACAAAAGAGATGACAACAATCTTAATTGATTATCATTAAATATTATAAACATACATGTTATCCTTCTAAATACAGTATCAACTTCGATTTGGTGATGCAGTATATATTTCAGGTGATTCTGACTACTTTGGTAATTGGTCATTGCATCTAGCTAAAAGAATGAAATGGAATTAAGTATCATAAAACTCTTAATTAGGGACATCTTTGGACTGTTGATATCCCTATTCATGATTTCCAATATAAATACTTTATCTCCTCTTTTAATAAGCCTAATGAGGTTTAATGGGAATTTGGACCTAATCGTATTATGAGAACTACAGATGAAACACGTAAATTTAATTTGAATCTTATTAGGAATTGCTGATGTATGGAATCATAGAAAAATCATTTTTCAGTGCTATAATCCTCAAAAATATCCAATGTTTATTTCAGGATCAACTTTAAATCTTGGTTAGAACATCAAACAAATTAGTATGAAATAAAAATAAGATATATCTTATAGAAAAATACTTGCTAATGTAATTGAAGATAAAGTAATTCATTATCAATTTCATATCAAATCTCAAAAACATTATTCTAGTTCAGTATAAACTTTATATCTTGATACTTCCCTATCCCTATATAGCAATTTAGACTTTTCATACAAGAACTATATCATTGCTTTTTGTACAGGATTCAATAAAAGCTTAATCTATTAATTGGATAATCATATTTCTTACGGTTATGTTCCAAACAATCAAACTGATTTTAATTTGCTTAAAGATGCCAATCTCCATACCATTGTTGAATTCTCCTATTCTACTGAATAACCTACTCATACTGTCAAATTTGGAGATTTTAACTATCTTACTGTTAATTTCAGTTCCAATATGACTTAAAGCTATATATCCAATCTTTGTTCCTTTATTCATCTACTAATTAATAAATACAATGTAAATCTGAAATCAATTAATAGGTAATTTATGTATGTAACAATTCATTATCTCATGTTAGAAAATATCTATAGGTTTACAAAAGTCTAGTAAATTCTAAATGAAAGGAACTTCTTTTTTGTTTATTATGATTTCAAGAAAGTATTTAAACAATTAATTAATATATAATACATTATAACATTTTATTTTGTTTTTACTAAATCACATAATGATCATTTTTAATACTAAAAATCAGAATACTTGTAAATTAGGAAAAACAGTATTATATTAAAAAATATGAAATTATATTATAATGTAAAAATATTAAGAGTAATATGCTAAATAATCTGAAGAAATCCTAGGATTATTTCTGGATATGGCAGAGGAAGGAGAACAACCGAAAATTATGAATAAATTGAAAAAAACTTTAAAAAAAGCATAAAAGAATGTAAAATATTGTATTTGATAATAAGTTGGATAGAATGGAATAAGAAAGCATATCTGGAGAGTAAAGGTTATAAGTTTGGTAATAGCAAAATGATGTTCATAGAACTATGATGGAGATTTAAGGATAAAGTTCAGATTCTGATGATGATGAAGAAGAGTTTGTATACAATGGATCTAAATTCAATCTAATCAATATGATTGTATTACTTATAACTATTGTTCTTATCAGTTAATATCCATGACTCAATATAATATTTACTATTATAAATAAATTTATTTTGAATGTCAAGTTATAATAATTATATATATATATATATTCTAAAATAAAATATTCTTTAGAAGGTATATAAAATTTAATCATTGAAACTAAAACATTAAAATCAAATAACAAATTATATTTTCAAAGTTGGTTCAGATGAAAAACTTTCTTTGTTTGGGTACAATTTAAAACTCTTTGGGGAGTCTTTTAGAAGAAGTGGTCATTGGTTGACTTTAAATTGTTCTGTCATCATTCACTTATTAATCAGTGTTACAAAAAGTGAATCCTAGAGGAGAATTGGATTTCTTTAATTCATTCTTTTTTCTAGATCTTCTAGTTGAATATATATTACTGTTCTTTTAAAGAATATTTATTTATATTTCGTTCTGTGTTAGATGTATTGGCTCTTTACAATATTACAGGCTTCTTTGTAGTTAAAAGTTTTGTAATTAATTTGTCTTTGTCTGAATTTTGTTTTATAAGTTGTAAATTCTCTTGAATAAGAAATTAGATGAACTTAGATTAATGAGGTTCAACAGCTGAAATTATAAATCAAGCAAAAATACATTTATTTTCACCCTCTGAAATTATTGAAGGATTTGGAGTTGAAAAACTTTCCTTAAATTTAAAACTTAATTGTAAAGAAGAAGCAGTAGTCTAAATAAGTCATATTTATTTACCTTATCATTAGATGACATAGTTTTTTAGGAACAATCAGAGCTAGGTGGTTTATCAGCCTTAGACAATTATGCAACAGATTTCTTATTTAAAGTTATCTTCAAATTTAGTTTTTTAGAATTCTAAGATTTCATGCTAACAAGAAGCAAAATAAATAAATATCTTAATTATTTAAACAATTCTTTTTTATGAATTTATAAGTTCTTAAAAACTCAATGTTAATATAATAATAGCAGATTTATACAAATTAGAATTCAAAAAGTATGTAATTATTTTAAATTTCTTATTCTAAGGATAATTATAGAATTCAAGCAAATTAAATATTTTTTACAAAAACTTTTCTAGTTAAATATTATATGATTGTTATAATTATAAGAAAAAGTATAAAATTAATTAAGATCGTACTTAACCTTCATTTTTAGATTTAAGACCTAAATTAAAGAGTTAAATCATTTTTATAAAATTAATTAATATGACTAGAAACTCCTAGATTGTCATCACTCATAAAACCATATCCTCAGTTGATGATCTTCCAGGTTTAATTGTACATGAGAAACTATTTAAAGGAGGATATGGTACTATTTTTAAGGGAATGGATCAAACAACTAAATAAGAAATTGCTATCAAATATTCTAAGTTTGACTTATCTAATGAATATAAAATTATGAAAAAGTTGTAACACATACCTGGAATTCCAAAAGTTTATACTTTAGGAGAATCAGGTAAATCTACATATTTGAGCATGGAATTTTTGAATTCAGATCTACATAGTATTAGAGCAAAAATGAAGTAATTATCTCTAAAAAGCATTTGTTGTATTGCAATTAAAGTGCTAGAAATATTGAAGGAAATTCACAATTTAAATATTGTACATAGAGATATTAAACCTACAAATCTTATGATAAAATCACTTGAAGGTTTTTATTTTTATTAATGATTTTTAGATTCACAGATATATTTGATTGATTTTGGAATAGCTAAAGAAGCTGATTAATTTATATATTCTTAAGAAGTAGAAGGCACTCTTCTATATGATCCAATTTAAGTACATTAGAGATTACCTTATAGATTTATTGATGATGTTGAAATGCTTGCATATACTCTGGTATTTCTATTTAAAGGTAAAATAATTATCAAAAAATAGGTCATTTACCTTGGATGAAATATCCAAATACAATGCTTTATAATGAAGATGTTATGCGACATAAGGAATAATACATGAGCTCTAAAAGTATGAGTAGACTTCCATTTGCTGAACTCTTTGGGTACATAAAATGGAATTAAAATAACAATAAACCAGATCATGATTTTTTGATTTGTTTATTTAAGAAAATCTTAACAGAAAATAAAATGTTAGAAAACTATTTGTATGATTGGTCTGAAAATAGCACTCCACTTGCATCTTCAAAAACAAAAACTACTANTTATAAGTTCTTAAAAACTCAATGTTAATATAATAATAGCAGATTTATACAAATTAGAATTCAAAAAGTATGTAATTATTTTAAATTTCTTATTCTAAGGATAATTATAGAATTCAAGCAAATTAAATATTTTTTACAAAAACTTTTCTAGTTAAATATTATATGATTGTTATAATTATAAGAAAAAGTATAAAATTAATTAAGATCGTACTTAACCTTCATTTTTAGATTTAAGACCTAAATTAAAGAGTTAAATCATTTTTATAAAATTAATTAATATGACTAGAAACTCCTAGATTGTCATCACTCATAAAACCATATCCTCAGTTGATGATCTTCCAGGTTTAATTGTACATGAGAAACTATTTAAAGGAGGATATGGTACTATTTTTAAGGGAATGGATCAAACAACTAAATAAGAAATTGCTATCAAATATTCTAAGTTTGACTTATCTAATGAATATAAAATTATGAAAAAGTTGTAACACATACCTGGAATTCCAAAAGTTTATACTTTAGGAGAATCAGGTAAATCTACATATTTGAGCATGGAATTTTTGAATTCAGATCTACATAGTATTAGAGCAAAAATGAAGTAATTATCTCTAAAAAGCATTTGTTGTATTGCAATTAAAGTGCTAGAAATATTGAAGGAAATTCACAATTTAAATATTGTACATAGAGATATTAAACCTACAAATCTTATGATAAAATCACTTGAAGGTTTTTATTTTTATTAATGATTTTTAGATTCACAGATATATTTGATTGATTTTGGAATAGCTAAAGAAGCTGATTAATTTATATATTCTTAAGAAGTAGAAGGCACTCTTCTATATGATCCAATTTAAGTACATTAGAGATTACCTTATAGATTTATTGATGATGTTGAAATGCTTGCATATACTCTGGTATTTCTATTTAAAGGTAAAATAATTATCAAAAAATAGGTCATTTACCTTGGATGAAATATCCAAATACAATGCTTTATAATGAAGATGTTATGCGACATAAGGAATAATACATGAGCTCTAAAAGTATGAGTAGACTTCCATTTGCTGAACTCTTTGGGTACATAAAATGGAATTAAAATAACAATAAACCAGATCATGATTTTTTGATTTGTTTATTTAAGAAAATCTTAACAGAAAATAAAATGTTAGAAAACTATTTGTATGATTGGTCTGAAAATAGCACTCCACTTGCATCTTCAAAAACAAAAACTACTATTAGTTTTTTCAATTACTTTTGTGATTAAAGTGAACATAGTTATACAGGTAATTCTATTATTAAATTTATTTAAGATTTAAGTGATGATGAATAAAGTCAAGGTGTTTTAACTTTAACATAATAAGTCTATAAATTCTTTAAATAAGAATGATATAATTTGAATATATGTTATAATTTTAAAGTAAAGATTAAATACAATAGTTGAATTTAAGCTTCTCTGAAAGATTAAATTTAATATTAATATATTTTAAATGAGCAATTCCAAAAAATCCTTTTTGAAATGTAATTTTAATATCTATTGAAAAGTTCTAAGGTCTATTGATTTATTTGGATAGAATATCCTTCTAAATCTAAATGGTGAAGATCAGTATAAAACAGGATGTGGTGGTTTAATGACTCTAGTTATTTTGGTTATCGTTGTGTTATTCTTTTAATCTAACATACAAGATTTTATAAACAAAGTAAACATTCAAAGTGACAGCAATAAAATCTTTGAAGATCAACCAGATTAGATATATTTAAATGAATCAAATTTCATGTTTGCTGTAGCTATTGAATAAAATAATTTCAATTCTAATCCATTTTTCAATATCACTATTGCATCTAGGTAAACAAATTTATAATTTAGACATTATGAACGTTTAGGAGATGGAACACTCTCTAAAGTTGAAACCTTCATTGATCTTGTTCCTTGTACTGTTCAAAGATTTTAACAGATTTTTAGTACCTTTGGATAAAATTTTACTTAATAATTTCATGAGATCGGCTTAGATACTTGGTTATGTCCATAGTATTTTATTATTTTATATTTAGAATCAACTACTCATTTACACTTAAAGGAAGGTACACAAATAAATTTTTTGATTTTCTCAAAATAACTGTTAGTTAATGTAATAATCAATCTCAAACTAATTCCTTTTATACTTGGTAACCTATTTGTGCTTCTAATGAAACTATCTCCAAATGGCTTTTGGAACAAAGATAATATAGAGTTAAGATGTATTAATTGAATATATTTTTAAGATATATTACAAACTAAATGATTAGTCCATTAAAAGGAGATAATTTTGTTTAATCTTATTTGGATGATGAATTATTTTTTTCATTTATTCCTTAAGTCATAGGAAAAGAGGCTGATATATTTTTTACGAAATATTTAATGAAAACTGATAATAATTTATTACCAACTGGAGATACTTTTGATACCAAAGAATTATTTGCTAAAGAATAAGGAGATTATAGAGATTAAAATAGTTATGCTAGTGAAACTTATGCATCAATTTATCTTAGAAGATCTCCTTATACAACTTACATATCAAGATCATATTAAAAATTGGATAAAATGCTTTCAATTTTAGGTGGATTTGCCAATATAGTAATTGTTGTTTTAGGGTTTGTTGTTGGAATGTATAATAAATAATTATGTAAATATAATAAATTCATTTAAAAATAGATTTAATAGAATTAGCAAATTAAATTTATGATTTTAATTTTGAAAAAGAAAATAAAGAGAAATTTGAAAGATAAAAATTAGTGTAAGAAATTACATATTTGAAATCTCAACCAATGATTTTAAGTAGATGTAGTCCTATTTAATCTATAAATCCCAATACATCAGTTAATAAGAATTTAAGAATGTCTATTCGATAAACATTTTCTTAGAAATTTGATTATATTTCTGGAATTCAAACTCATAAGGATGAATCATGTAAAATGATTACTTGTAGTCTTCGATAACCTATAGGAGATAAAGATATTGAATGGCAAAGTGCAGATGCTGCTGATATTTACAATAATCATTTTTTAGATGCTTCAAATGGAATAAAAGATGATGTAAAGTATTACTAAGAGGATTAAAAGAATTCTAAAATGTATAATCAAAATGATAGATAGAAATCTTACAAATAAATTCATAAGAAAATAGTGAGTAAAATAGGTTAACATAATAGAAAAGAATATTTAACTTAATAAATTTAAGCTATGCTTGATCGAAGTAGACCAATCATTTTTACTTTTAAAGTTTTATTGAATTAATTATTTTGTGGAAAATTGTTTTAGGATGAAAATTCAATTCTATTAAATAAGGCAATGTATAAATATAAATATAAATAATAAAAAGAAAGAAAATAAATTCTGACATCGATATATGTGTTTTAATAGATAAAGTGAAAGAGATAGAATTGATCAAAGAATTATTATTAAATAATGATCAACAGATTTTATTTAATTTTGCACCTAAAGAAGTAATCACAATAGAAAATGAAAGTCGTAAACATTCTTTTCCTAATAGAAGGGAGAATAAGTAAATATAATAAAATATAGATTAATATAGAAGAGCATTTACAAAAACATTAGGAGTGTAATTTGGAGATGTTGCAAAAATGATGTTAGATAAGAAATTTAAAAAAGGTTAATTTGTGACTCCTGGAATGCAAATATATTATAAATTATATTCAGCATATGAGAGAGTAATTCTATCAGATGAGAAAAATGATAGACTTAATTAAGTATTAATTGAGAAACTTGGTTAAGAAGTTAAGGATGTTTTTGATATATCAAATTATATAAAGGGAGATGAGAATGCAAAAATAATAGATAAATTAAAAAAGAAATAAACAAATCCTATAGAAGATGAATAACCTATAGGATTAATAAGTGTGGAATATAAAGATATAAATTAATCTATGATTAAATGAATTTTAATACTCATTTATGTGTTATTGCAACTCCTAAGAGTATAACAAATACTCTTAGCATATCTGGGCTATCCTAGAGATGTTACTATGAATTTACAAGCAGGATAAAAAGTTAATTTTATGTATTGATTTCTTCTCTTTAAGTAAATGTTCCACTATTACTGATATTTATTCATGTAATCTTAAATATTTGGAAGCTCTCCATCTTAGTAATACTAATCCTTCATATTTATTAGAATCTACAGGAAATTCTGCATTTAATTTCAAATCATGTCCTCTTTAATTCCATCTATGTTCAAATCTCCAACTCTAAAATCATCAACTTCAGTCTTCACTTTTTTTTATTTCTTTCTTTCAGGATAAACTGCATCAACCTCAAAACCTAAGAAATTTAATAATTAAAATTCAAATATATTTCTAAATCTTATCCATAATATTTAACTATCATTAACTTTTACGATTCATTATTATTCAATATAATTATTTATTTTCCATATTCCTAAAATCATTTTTATTATTTATATTTCTAATATACTACTTATTTAATCAATCTATTATCTTCTTTATTATATTACNAGGATGAAAATTCAATTCTATTAAATAAGGCAATGTATAAATATAAATATAAATAATAAAAAGAAAGAAAATAAATTCTGACATCGATATATGTGTTTTAATAGATAAAGTGAAAGAGATAGAATTGATCAAAGAATTATTATTAAATAATGATCAACAGATTTTATTTAATTTTGCACCTAAAGAAGTAATCACAATAGAAAATGAAAGTCGTAAACATTCTTTTCCTAATAGAAGGGAGAATAAGTAAATATAATAAAATATAGATTAATATAGAAGAGCATTTACAAAAACATTAGGAGTGTAATTTGGAGATGTTGCAAAAATGATGTTAGATAAGAAATTTAAAAAAGGTTAATTTGTGACTCCTGGAATGCAAATATATTATAAATTATATTCAGCATATGAGAGAGTAATTCTATCAGATGAGAAAAATGATAGACTTAATTAAGTATTAATTGAGAAACTTGGTTAAGAAGTTAAGGATGTTTTTGATATATCAAATTATATAAAGGGAGATGAGAATGCAAAAATAATAGATAAATTAAAAAAGAAATAAACAAATCCTATAGAAGATGAATAACCTATAGGATTAATAAGTGTGGAATATAAAGATATAAATTAATCTATGATTAAATGAATTTTAATACTCATTTATGTGTTATTGCAACTCCTAAGAGTATAACAAATACTCTTAGCATATCTGGGCTATCCTAGAGATGTTACTATGAATTTACAAGCAGGATAAAAAGTTAATTTTATGTATTGATTTCTTCTCTTTAAGTAAATGTTCCACTATTACTGATATTTATTCATGTAATCTTAAATATTTGGAAGCTCTCCATCTTAGTAATACTAATCCTTCATATTTATTAGAATCTACAGGAAATTCTGCATTTAATTTCAAATCATGTCCTCTTTAATTCCATCTATGTTCAAATCTCCAACTCTAAAATCATCAACTTCAGTCTTCACTTTTTTTTATTTCTTTCTTTCAGGATAAACTGCATCAACCTCAAAACCTAAGAAATTTAATAATTAAAATTCAAATATATTTCTAAATCTTATCCATAATATTTAACTATCATTAACTTTTACGATTCATTATTATTCAATATAATTATTTATTTTCCATATTCCTAAAATCATTTTTATTATTTATATTTCTAATATACTACTTATTTAATCAATCTATTATCTTCTTTATTATATTACTAAGAGTTCTCATGTTCTTTTTTTTAATTCTATTGATTAATTATTCAAAATAAAAATTATTTAAGAATGAATTTATACTAATCTAAAAAAATATTCAAATATTTTAACAGACTAGAATCTATGATTCTTTTTCCATTTTAATTAAATTAAGCTATTACAAATTAGATTAATATTTTATATTCATTATTATTTTTAATATAAAAAATAAATTAATTATTTTAAATTATTATGTGGAATTTTAGATTTAATTACTTTATTAATACATTTTTTTCACTATGTATTCAAAATTTACATATAAAACTTAAAACCTTAATTCCACATATTAATAAAATAAAATGACTAAAGTTTATCTCCTATTGTTTTCTATATTCATCTTGACTCACTCATGTTCCTACCTGTACAATAATACAATATTCCTAACGGGAACCTTACAAGAAGTTATTAATGTTCCACTTTCCACTATTTTTCATGTAAACAACTTTGAAAGAATTACTTTAAAGCAAACCAACAAATTCTTAACTATAAAATCTCCAATTTCAAAATTTTAAGAGACAGTTATAGGTGGTTTTAAAAATGCAAAAACATTATCTTAAAAACTTCAGAAAACCATAAAAAGTCGTGATCCAATAAATCACTTAACAATTTTGGTGGAGTTAAATGGAGAATATTACGAAGAATCCAATATTGGGACTTATTTAACCATACCTTAAATAACATCTTTAAGCAATTTTTCATCAAAATAAAAATCAATTTGCTATGACATCATATTTATAGATAAACTTTCAATTGTAGAATGCGATGATGAATCAAAAAATAGCTATTTTATCATTAAGCATTAAATGAATACTTAATATCTTGATATTGATAAACCAATTTCAGATTTCCGTAAACTTGATTAACTTGACAATTATATGTTTAGGGGTACTGGAAATATGATTTCTATGTATATTGAAGAAGACATGGAATTAAATTTTGTAAATTCTTTAGATGAAACAAAATTAAAAGCACTTCTGAAAAAAGACTCATTCAAATTGTCTATTGCAGATTTTTAAATTCATACAAATGGATAACTAAGTATTATGAATAATTTTGGAGAAATTATCATTGTTGAATACACAAATAATTAGTGGCAATTAATTAAAGTAATCGAAACTGATTTAAATCCTATTTCAGCATACGACTATGATATTTACACTAATAGTTATGTTATAATATCATTAAATATAATCTTGTATTATAATGGTGAAAGCTTATAGCAAATACTTGAAATCTAAAACTAAAATACATCAGATAAAGTTTATATCACAAAAAAGAATATCCTCAGATTAAAAAATAATAACATTATTTTGTATAATAAAAAATTAGAAAATTTATACAATTTGAAATTGGATGAAGAGCAAAATTATATTAATACAAATCCACATGCGGAAGGCTTTCTAATAATAGGGGATACTAAAATAGCTGCTTATACCATAAATAATTAATATTCATTATAATTATCATTAGAATCAACAATAGATTAAGATTATCTAAAGGCTAGTTTATTGTAGGAGGGATATCCTAAAAATTGTGAAATAACAATATTTTATAAAACTTAAGATTTTGGATATCAGAAAATCTTTTAATCTTAATATTCTTAAGGTTTAATATCAGGAGGCATTAATTCAGATAGTGATATAATTAAAATTATTCCGATATTTTAAGGTTCAAATTTAAAGTATCAATTTAAAACCAATAGTTTAATTAAAATATAAGTTGAGAACTATTAGAGTATTTAATTTGCTGACTTATCTGATACTAAAAATTTGAGCTATCAAAAAATATTAACAGGAAAAGGGTAATTCAGCTTTTATCTGATTTAATAATATAATAATCTATAAGTAAAAGCATATGCATGTGAAGGAATCCTTTAAATTAGTTGTCAAATGCTCTTTGATAAAGATACTTTTATAAAATTAGAGAATTCAACTTAATAATTATGGTGGTCAAATGAAGGTTCATTATTTTTTACAATTTTTGAAGAGATGAATATTATAATACATTATTGGTCCAATGAAACAAAGACTTTTTAAGTGTTAACGAATATTAATTTAGAGAGTAATATAAAATAAATAGTTACAGATGGTTATCATTTATTCGTTTTGACATAAGAAAAGATAAATGTTTATTAAATAACAATATAAGATAAAGCTAAATTAATTATGACATTTGATGTTAATGCGAATAAAATCTATGCATCAGAAAATGTAAGAAATCTATTGTTTATTGAATAAGGAGTTAGCTTAGATTTATATAATATCGAATATAATTTGTAAACTTTAATATGGTACAATGCAATTTAAATTGATAATTTAGAATCAAATCTAGCTATCTTTGCTAATCATTTTGTCAGATTCACTAAAACTATAAATTAGGATGAATATCTTGTTACAGTCTTTAATTATGCAAACAAAAGAAATATCTATGTGGAAAAGTAACTATAATTTAGTTATTATTCTGATATTCTTTTATCTACTCTTGATTATTCATTCGATAATAACTTATTTTATGTTCATGGATATAATAAATAAATGTCTAAATAAGTAATTCTAGTCTATAAATGCGTGTCAAGTAGTTTGGATGCTTTGTTTCATTTGATTGATACAACACCAACTTCATAATTTACTGTAGCAAATAACTATATTCTTATTACTGATGTTACAAAAGATAATACAATTTTAGAAAATTATTATATTAATGGAGAACTTTAAGTTACAACAAAACGAAATCAAAATTATGAATAAATTTCATATACATTATAAATTAATTTAGATTTTGAAGTAACTAATGATTTATCGAATAAACTTGTTGAATCTATTCCTATCAATGTAGTAAATAGAGGATAAAATATTATAAAAATAAATGATAAAATTAATTTAAAATATTTTGAGGATAATAATTAAACTCATTGTGTTAATTTGGGATAAGATTGGTATTCTGGTTAAGTTTTTGATATAACCATTGAAGATTCCTCCCAAAAAGTTAAATTTAAACCTTCTTTGACTATTTAAGAAGAAAAGGTTGAATTTAGTCCATAGATTTAATAATTAAATAATGATACATTAGTTTAATTAATGCCGAATAAACTTACTCTTATTAAGAAAGAGGATTTTTCATTAAATGAATTTACATTGGAAGATTCATATAAATTTACAACTATCTTATTAATAGTTGGTGAAAATATATATGTTTAAGCTGAAACTTAATTCTCTTAATGGCTCAGAATAATTGAATGCAAGGAATATAAAAATTGTAAATTGTTGGATACTAAATTAGAATTTGAATAAAGTATAAAAACACTATATCTTCATTAAAATAATTTCTTTTGTTATCTTGGAAATTATATTAAGGTTTATGATACTTAAGGGTAACCAACTAATTTAGAATAATTTCAATTATTTCAAATGTTTCAATAATACTATTTAATTAAATAAATGGAGTTTATTTACTTAAAAGATGATGTTTATTCTTTTATTTCAGTTGATACTTAAGGTAATCTTGAATTTTAAATGAGGGAAATCAGTAGAACATCATTAAATAATTAATTTGTAAGATTTTAGATAGATTAAATTATTGCTGAATAAAAAATTAATTTATAAGAAATTCAAATCTCAGCTGGTTTTGTATTAAGTAAAAATGAAATTACTATAATTTTTACCAATAGTGCATCATACTCTTTTTATTATGAAATAGATTGTACAAGAAATAAATTATGTGAAATAGCTAAATTTTAATTTAATGGCTTATATTAATAATATAAAGATTGGGAATTAAAATCATTCTATGCTTCTTCTAATTAAAATGAAAATATTCTCTAATTACTCTATTTTGCAAAAACTCACTATGAATTATTAATTTATGATATGGAAACATCAAGTAATAATTAAAGACCTAAAAATGTAATTGCTCGTTTGGCCTCTACTGAATTTGAATAACAATATAAAGTTTAGTCCTTTGTTTATACTTACAATGGTCAATTAAAATTATTAACTTCAATCTAAGACAAAAACATATTATAACTATACTCTTTATTGAGATCTCATTAATTATGCATAGATGAAAGTAGTGTTAATGAAGTAATGAAATTTACTTTATCAAATACAGATAAATAAATTAATATAGAAGAGTAGGTAACAATTGATTTATTCAAACCCATTCCTCCAGATGAGAAAAATAGTTTCCCTATTTGGGCTATTATTTTGATTATTCTCGGCGTACTTTTGATTGGAGCAGGACTATATAAATATTGTAGTTAGAGAAAAAATAGAAAATAGAATGATAATAATCTATTATTGGCTTAATGATTAACATTAAAATATTTTTATATATAATATCCTATATTAATTGTTTTTATAAATAAAAGCTAACAAACTCATCCATTAATTAATTTTTTTAATTAAAAATTCTCTTCAAATGATTCTTAGGACATTTTTTTGATAGTAAAATAAATTTATAAAATTATTATAAGTATAATTATAAAGCTAATATATCTATAAGTCTCAACAAAGTGATTTGCTTTTTGTTTATAATTTTTGTTACTTATATAACTGAAACATAACAAATCTTTCTTAACATTTTTTTAGTAAATATCATTTTATTTATTCCAATAATATTCTTTATATAAATATAATTTTTAATTCATAATATTACAGATTAATTAACTATCTATTTATGTTCTTAATTTGATATGAATTTAAAATAGTGCAGATGAATACCTAATTTAATATAATATAATAATTTAAAAAGTCAATATTTGATAATAAAAAAATATTAATGACCATTTCTGCTAGATTTCAAAAAAAGTACTGATGAAATGAGTTTATCTATCAGAATAATAAAAAATATATTTGATTAGATCAAATTGATTAGAGATGCAAAAAATATAGTTTTATAATAAAATTGATTATAGAAAAATAATTATAAATATATGATATAAATTCTTCGAATAGAAGATTTAATAATAATTCTTATGAATTCATTTTTAAAAAAACTTACCTTGACTTAAATCGATTCCATAAATATCTTTATATATTTCTTAAATTGATTTATCTAAAGTAGAGATTAAATGTCCTTATCCTTTATGAATAGTGCTGATTTTAGGATTCTTATTACGAATGACATTACATTTTTCTAATACAGACTTAGATGTTTCAACAGGATTAAAGGTCTCTAATTCATTTCCTTATTTAGGTTTAGTATCTTTTTATTCAATTTCTTCAGTTTTTTAAACTTCTCTCTATTATTGTTAAGATTCTAAAGTAATTAAATAATTTTACTTTTTTCTTCTGGTTCTACTTATTTCAATAATGGAGCAGATCTGGCATGATCCATAAGGGATACTAGATAATTATCACAAGGTGAATACATGGCAAATTGTTAAACATTGTAGCTGTGGCCTAGAAATGTGTTTTTTAATGTAAACTAGGTAATAAATTCTTGGCAATTAATCTGCTAATATATGCTTTTCTTTCAAGTGAACTCATATTATCTGAGAGATTTTCAACATTGAATGCTTTTTTTTTACTGAATTTTTGATTCTCTACCTAAGTTTATGTATGATCTTTTAAAAATTGTTCTATTCTTTCTAAACTAGTTTTATCTCTATATCTAAAAACATCACGTTTTATATCTTTAGAAGGATCTCTTTCACGAAAACAGTAATGAGCAACTTACCTATTAGGAAGAAAGTCAAGATCCTTGTTTCTTTCCAAAGCTTCTTAGATACGATCTTTTTCGTGTTTAAAACCCTTAACATAAAATTGTGGATCACCCAAATTCTTCCTAGGATCTTCATCTCTAAATGCTTAAAGACTAGGTTATTTATATTCAGAACAAACTATAGGATTCTCTAACATATTTATTACAAAATTTTCAACTCTTTTTCTGTAATTCTATGCTAAACGATTGTTTAACTCTTTTAATTAATCAATTAATCATACCTTTACGAACGTCTCTTTCCCTCATATACCCTTTCTTTATCTTATCTATCTCTTTAGATAAGGCAAGTTATTTCTCATATTAGTAAGAATTAAACATTAATATTTAATTATTAATTCTTACAAATTATATCTAGCTCTCACTAAACCTTCTAACATTAATTCAGTAATATAAAATACACTTTATAATTTTGTATTAGGTATCAAAATTATTTCAGAATTCAATAGATATAATTTATATTAAATAAAAGAAAATTATCATACGTGATATATTTATTTTTGTTTTTCAATAAAGGATTTCCATTGTGCTTTTGGTATTTATTATTGTTATACATCATAATATAATGGTTCTATCCAATACATCCAATCATTTTATATTAATTCTTTAACTAAACCTTAAAATAATAATTTCTCATCTTGATTCACAATCTACTTTATTATTTTCTCAATTTAAATTTTATCGCTCATATCAAGACCTTATAATGTGCGTATTTTAAATATGATATTATTAAATTCAGGATCTAATTATAAATTTTAATCATCCGATTTGTTTTCAAAAATTTGGATTAACTAAAATTTAATTCATTAATACTTTTTAAAGCAACTATGAGTAAGATCCTGAATAGAGCTATGACATTTATTTAATTATTTCAATTTCTTATAAAAGTAAGGATTTTATATGATTATTATGCTTTTAGCTCTTTGTTATTTATTTATTATCAATTCTTTAATGAGTATAATCAACACTATTGTCTTATTCAAAAATTCTATGCCTTTTACCTGGTGTAGATTTATTTCTTGTTTAGTTTAATTCTTATCTTACTTTAATTTCAGGTATCTTTTCAAAGATTCTATTTCTTTAAGGAGTTAAATGATCATTTTAATTATTTTTGGATATGATTAGATCATTTTCTTTTGGAGATTGATTTTCCCACTTAGATAAAAAGTATTATTGATTTGTCTATTTTGGAAGAGTTTCAATCTTTTAATTTTATTAATAACCATGAGGCAAGGTTAATGTTTAATCTTATTATCTATTATAGAAGTATGCCATTATTATATTATAGAAATTAATTATGTATAAATATATATACATTATAATATACATTCATATTTTTATTTTCAAATTAACTCGTATTTATTCAATGTTATTAATACTAAGAGGATCTGAATTAACTGAATCAAATTGTATATCATCATCTTTTTAACTTTTAATCTAATTTTTATCGAATTAAATGAAATGAGAAACCTCAAAGATATCTTTGACTTCTTGTCCTAATTTTTCAATCAATTTTTCATTAATTTTATTATTCTATTATAAAGATTAATGGATATGATCATAAGCCTACAAATATGTATAAAGATACGAATACCTAAAATAATTTGTAATAAGCATTAATTGATTCATTTTATTGTAAGCTATCAACAGAAGTAGAATTTGATCTCATACCATCTAATGTTCTTTTTACTAAACTTCTAGTCATTTTTTATTCTTCTTCTTAGAGATTTATTGCCTATTTTGGAGCAAAATCAAACAAAACCAATTAATCGTGAGTTAATAATAGTTCTTTGAGTAGATTAATTTCTTTGACTTTGTCAATAATAACACATAGATCTAAATCTTTGTTAATTTTTTTTCTAAAATTACAGTAGTGTAATTTCTTACATTGCTTTTTATAGTAGAATACTATTACGATCATAAAAGAATTTGGCACAAAAGATCTTAGAGAGAATATATTTATAATTAAATAGGATGGGTTTACTTCTATTTAATATTTTTTAGACTTATTAAGTTAAGTAACTTTTACGATCACTAATTCCAAGTTATTATATAATTTTTTCTTATTCTTATTAGAAAAGCCGTTATTCTTCTTGACGATTGGTAATATACAATTCTGATTTGGCTTAATAAATATCATCTTATTTAGATGTATATTATTATTCTTGTTTTGTTGTATCATTTAATAACAATTATTAGTTTTATGTAAATTTAGGAGATTGTAATGGAGATTATAAGACTTATTCTTATTCTTAATGTTTGATAATAATGGTTCTACTTTTAGCTCTGGCGATAGTTTTTTTGATTTCTTTTCTTTGTTGAGTTTCTGCTGGGTTATCATTCTTAATAGGGAAATCATATATTTGATTAGCTAATTCAATCATAACTAAATAAATGTGGACAGTTAATACATCTAGATTTATTATAAGATTTGATCATGATTCCGAAAATAAGTGCAACAATATTGGCAAATCCTCCAAGATAGGAAAGTAAATCTGCAATATCTTAGAAATCTCGTTTAATAACATAAGTATAAGGACTTCTTCTCATATAAATGGCTGCATATTATTATGGATTATTTTGAACAGTACTAGTTTTATAATCTCCTGCTTTTTTAACATTATAAACATTTTAGATTTATTGTTTTGGATAAGGAAATATATTATCATGAGTTGTGACATTGTATTTTTAATAGAAAACATCTGTTTCAGTTCCAGTAGATAGGAGAAATGAAAAGAAGGATTCATCATCTAAAAAGACTTAGGAAATATTCTAAACTTATAAAGGATTAAGAACATTATTAGTCATATACCTAAATAAATAATCAATATAAAGTAGTACATTTTAATTCTAAAAGACCGTTCAGATTAAAGAAAACGGTCTCTTGCTTGAGTACTAGCACATCGAGGTTTCCATGATAAAAATGAATTAGTAGTTGTATCGTTAGAACATTCACTAACAGTTATTTTTACAAATTGAAAAATATCACTTGTATAACCTCCACTCAATTGAATAGAATAATTATGTTAAGGACATAACCATTCCTATAAATTAAGTGAAGCAAACTAAGAACTGAAATTCTGATTATTAAAAATCTTTTAGAAGCGATCTTGAGTGCATGGGATAAGATCAATGAAAGTATCATTCTTATGTAAAGTACCATTAGCAAATCGTGTATATATACGTTATTTAAGGGTGATATTAAAGAAAGGAACTGTGTTAAATTAAGCTTACTCTATAGCCAATGCAAACATGTAATTATCGTCATTTAATTAGACACTATCTGGATTAGAATCAAATATTGTCTATATGTTGAGATTTATTTCATTCCGATTTAGAAAATTTACTATATTCTGTTAAAAGAATAATGCAATAACTGCAATTATTGCAATAGAGAATAATCCACCAACTGCTGTTTGGTATTGATTCTCTCCATTAAAGTTCAATTGTACATTTTAACCAAAAATATCTAAGTTCTTAAAAACTTGATTACTAATTGATTATTACATTCTGAAGACTTTTTCATCATCATTTTAATATTTTAAATTTATTTACTCAATATTTATAAAATCCTATGCCAGACTTTTTGTCCAATCAACCCGTTATCATGTAATAGATCAATAATCGACATTATCTATATTTAGAATCATCAAAATCTTATTGAAGTATTTTTGTAATCTAAAGACAAATGTCAAATTCTATAAAATCAGACCAAGTTAATCGTCTTAAAGATTTATATTAATAATACCTATAATACATATAGAAACGTTTTGCCTAATTTCAAAGCCATGTCAATTTCTTCAACAATCCCAATACCTTCATTTGAGGTTTAGATTGAATGAGCAATTACGATTTTATTTGCAAGAAACTCTAGAATATCTTAGGTTATTGATATTTCTTTTTTTGCTAATCTATTCTATGGTTAATAAAATATAATAATCTAATATTTAATCTAATGTAGATATCTTTATCTCTTTGATAACTTTAAATAAATTTCATCGTTTGGATATGATTCATAAAATTCATTCAAATAATTCGATCAGTCCTGTTTTTAATCTAGCTAATTTAATTTTAGAAATAGAGGAAGAATTTTAAATTGTATTTTCTCAATATTAGTCTCTTATACTAGTTCCTTAAATATTTCAATTTTTATTTTAAATTTCTTAGAATCAACCTTTACAACAAAATCCCAACATGACAAATCAGAAATTTACAAATTTAAAGTTAATCTTTACATTATATCTGTTTGTATGTTTTTTACTCAATCTATTCTTATAAATTTCCTTCTATATTACTTGTTTATAAATTATTAACTTGACAACAATATTTTATCTATCATAAATAACTTTAACAATTTATCACATTAATCAACTATTTTGATATAGCACTTCAAACTATGGCAATTCATATTCCCATTTATTCAACATCTACAACCCCAAAGATTGACGATAATTTATATCTCAAAAATTATTTCATATTTATTTAATGACGGACAATTTGATAACTGCACCTTATTTTTCTTCTAAGAAGAAGTTTTTTTACAAAAATCTACTTGATGAGAATTCAAAGGTTGACTTCATCTCACAATATAGAATGATTCAAAAAATGAAGGATTCTGGTTAGCGTCCTCCATTACCTGAATATACACATAGAAACGAATACAAACCTCTTTTTATTTTTGGCTCTCCTAAACATTCTCTCGAACAAATTACAACCAAATAATCCACTCATTTAACTACCACTCAACGTGTAATTCCAAACACAATTGGATCATTTGATAGAGAAGAATCATTGCCTACAATTTCTAAAAGAAAAAGAGCAAACATTAAGAAAATAAAAATGATCACTCAAGCACCTGAAGACCTTTAAATACTTGACTATTTAGAATATGTGAAATAAACTCAGTAATAAAAAAAACAATTGAATAATATTTTTGAGAAATTAGATGAAAAAGAAGGAAATACATTTGTTTCTTTAAATTAATTAAAGCAGAACCATCTCAAATCTATTAAGGCTGAATAAAATCTCTACATTCATAAACTAATTTTTAGTTCATTTGCTGTATACTCTATTAAAGTATTCAAATCAATTACCTTATAAGAAATTATTGATTTGTACCTGGCAGCATAAAAAAAATAAACAAGTCAATTTAGTGCAGTTGAGTAAATTGTTCAATCCTTCTTATCCGATTTAGAAATCGCCTCCAAAATTTATAATTCAACAAAACTTATGGCTTCTGCCTTGTGCAAAATAACAGGAATTGATTACAAATTGTTTTATTTACTCTATAAACCTAAACGAATACTTCCTAATAATGATGGATATGTAATTGATGAGAATTTCGCAAACAATTACTAATATACACATATTGATTGTTATGATGTTTATTATAGAATTTTTGGAGCTGGTGATTTACCCTATGAATATTAGGAACATATGAAAGATTTCTATACCTAAGATGCTGCACCTTCCATATTTAATAGTCAAATTAGACAAAAGGATTATAAGTTAGCGAAATAAAAATTAGAAAATGATTTTGGTAGAGATAAAACAGGTTGGTATAACAACGCCAATAAAATAGAAGTCGATTTAGATTTTATTAGAAAATTACTCTATTATTAGAAAAATTTATAAATATCATTAAAAAATAAATAATCTGACATTATAATGAATAAACAATTATAATTGTAACATTATACTAAATAGGTGATAACAGAAGAAGCTTAAGAATAGAAGTAAAGATAATTGATTTAACAAACTAATTCTTTATTATTTAAAATAGAAACTGCAGAGAATTAAATAGGGACATTTCCATTAGTTTCTAGATCAAATAGATATTTCTATGAAAATCTGCATTATTTAGAGCGCATATAGAATAAAATAAAGAAGAATGATTATTAAATATAATGATATTATAAATTGTATTTTATTTTTTTTGGAAATTTTTAGATATAACAAAATTATATTAATTATATGTGAATATTCATCTTCTTCTTGTAAATATCCTTTTAAGGAATTCTTTAGCCTTAGAATCGAGTAATTTGTTCATCAATTTTTAAATGATTGGCATATTAATTAATCCTATATGAACACCATACTATAGTACTAATTAAATAGGAGAGTAAATAAGATTGTCTAAACTAAAAGTTCCAATAAAAATATAACTCCATTAATTTGCTGTTTCGACAGATCCACTTAATACTAATCCAGCAAGCATAGTATAAGATATAAATGCAGCAGTTAAAATCATAACAACAGCACCTCCAATTCTTATTGATTTCTTTTTATGTACTAATATCTTTTCTAATGCAAGTTAATATATTTTATTAACAGGAGCAGTAATTAGAGCCAGTGTTAGAGTAACACTAATATTATTAAGTTATCCAAATACAAAAAGTACAGCTAAACTACCCATTATACCAGTATAAACAATTGATGCTCTAAGTCCTCTAGGGGTTTCTTCATCATCTTTATATATTATAGATAAAATCTAATGAAAATATTTAAGATATTCGATATATGCCTTGATCTTAGAAATTGATTATTAAACCATATCTTCTGCTTCTTTTTTTTGTTATGGGTTTTATTCTGTTGCATTTTATTGATCAATATCAACTTATTAAAGAGTTTATTCAGATTGATATTTCTAATTCTAAGCCTTATTTTCAGGAAATAATTCAGATTTTATTGTGCCATTTTAAACATTAACTGTATTGTCATCAATTACATATAAGCCTTATTATATTTAATTAATTTTAGGTTAAATTAGTTAAGCTTTTTAATTAACTTACAATATCATTAGTGCCTATGAACCTCTAATATTATGAACCTTTGTTGGATTTGGCCCTCTATTTCTATTAAAAATTGTATTCCCTCTTTCATAATTAGGTCTATCATCATTAAACTCTAATTAGTTCAACATAATTTTGCTTTAATTAGAATCATTTTAAGTATTAATTTATTCAATGCATAATATTCCATCATCATTTTCTTTATCTTTACCATCTTTTTATTTTTATTCTTCTTTCTTAAGCTAATTTTCTAAATCCTCTTTAGCTTCCTTTTCTGCTGCAAGTCTAGTTTATAAAGCATGATCTACTTTCATACCCCAGTAAACAACATAAGCATATCCTACAGTCATAAATAAATAAAAGTAGAATATTATAGTTTTATAAAATGGAAAAGATGCAAACGCAAGTAATGTATCTAATGAGTATACTTGGGAAGCTTTATCAAGTAAATAATCTAATGATTCCATTATTGATGTAGGATTTAATGATTCACATTCACAAATTGTTTCTCCATCGGCTTTTTTTGTTTTACAAACATCAGCGTTCCAATTACCAGAATCTACTTATGCTATACATTTTGTTGAAGTATTTGGAGCCACTTCGTTTTTTGTTGGAAATTTCATCTTCATACTAGTCGCCATAATTTTAGCTTAACTACTTGTATACTTAATAGTTAATTTAGGATCAACAGCCTAATAACCACTACTATTTTTAGGAAATCCAGCTTAACTGTAAAATGGATTATCAATAAAGCGAGTTTATGAGAATTTGAAGAAATTTGTTGAATTGCTATAATTTTAATTAGTATTCTCTAACTCTTCCTCCAATAATCTATTTCTACTATTATCTTTGATTGAAGAACCAATAGCATCAGTAGCTAATTTAGATGTTAAGAATCCAAAATTCAAATTTACTGAATTAGATGATACTTTATACATAGGTTCATTAGCTACACTAATATCTTAGAGATAATTCATCATAATATCAAGTTATTGTTGTATTTCAGTTGCTGTTACATTTTTATTTACTCGATAATTTATATAAGATGACAGGATATTTGTATAAGTGTAATATTATTTCACATAATTAGATTTCTCTATGTTTTACTCTGAACTCAATTTATTATTATTTTACAATTCGCTCAAAATCATTAATTATGCAGCTGCCAATTTGATTCTATTATTTACTTAAAACAATAAGTGTGTTTCATTTAATCCTATTAAACTTACATTCGAACTCAAAATATTTGATAATGAATTATATAAAATTTCAGTTTAATTACTTAAAAAAGAGTCATTCTTATCAATTGATAACAATTCCTTAAATAATTCTTCTTTATAATCAATCAAACCACTTAATTAAGTAAGTCTATCAGTTATAATCTTATATCCTATTAATTATTCATCAAATGTTTTCAATCTTTTTTAGTAGTCTCTGATGTTGGTCTCACTTAAATTAGCATATTATTTTATAATTATAGGCTCTGTTATGTTTGCAATTCCACCAATTGAATCTTGGATGTTTACAACAATAAGACTTTCGTCATTATTTGCAAAAGGAAGAGTCAAATTAAATTTAGATTTTTATTATGGAGGTATAACAAGAGTGTAATGATAAAATTTGGAATTCTCAATATCATTTTTATAGATTGATTAATTAGGAAATAACATCACCGAATATTTCAATGGAGTATCAAGATCTTCACAATTAATGATATTCACTTCAAGATAGTCTAAGAATTCAACAAAG